ATGCTTCCAGCACCTTGTTGAATCTATGCCACGAAGAATTTAGGCAGTTCTGAAGGCAAAAGGGGGTCCAACCCGTTACTGGCGTGGTGTACCTAATAAAGTGGCCGGTGAGTGTAGAGCTTCTAAAAGCAGAACAGGAGGCAGAGCTGTCAGATATCAGGTTTCTCTCATGTGCAACCAACTTTCAAATTTTGTCCATGAGGCTGACACTCTGTCTACAATTAGGACGAGGGTTAAAACTTTCCTTTTAGAAAAATCCTAAAGTTAGGGTTGGCTTTGGTTGGTACTTAGTTCTGCTGCTATAGGCACAGATTGTTTGATGACAAGCTGGACCACATTTCCTCACTCTGCTGCTGTCTTTAAATGCTCTACATGTTTGTTCATGCAGCTGTTACTGACCTGTTTTTGTTCTTGCAGAAACTGCAGAGTTAAAAGTCTCACGAAAAAGAGAAAAATTTATATCTGAATACCCCAGCAAGTAATGGCCGATGAGGTCCATCTTTTACCCTATGACCAAACATGACCGCTGTCTCAAAAGCCACCATAGACAATCAGAATTAAAGGGCGTCCTGTGTCTTTTGACTCACACTGTACACCTCGACTAAGTTGTTTTTCTGTTTCTTCTCTCAAGCCCCGGCCAGCCAAGAGAAATTGTTTTAAATGAAAATTTGATACAAGATAGATAACTTTTATTAATTTGTATTTCTTAATGTAATGTATGTGTGTAATTGCATTATAAAAAATAAATTAATATGAATTTAAATTAAATTTACGATCTGGACAAGTTTGTTGGACATTTTTTTCCTTCAGATGGCTTCTAGTGTGAAATGACACTACATAAATTGAATATAATTGAAAAAAAACAAACACTCACCCATCCATGCTGTGAATGGGACTGCAGGAGGACAGAGGAGAATTGAACGGCTGTGCCCTTGCATCCACAACACTGCAAATATCTGCAGAATTGACACAGAAACCAGACAGACAAACTTAATCACCAGCAAAATGTTGGTCTTGATGATGATTTTAAACAACAAAAGTGGAAAACCCAGGTGCAGAACTAAAAAGGAAAAACATTTGGGTGTAGTGAAATATAGTTGAAACAGAGTATTCTTCCATGGATGTGTCCTTACCTTGTTCTCCTTTTTTACAATCAGACTCTGACAGCGAGAAAAGGCAGAAAACCAAAAAACGAGAAGAAGAAAAAAGACGTATGGAGGACGTAACGAAAAAGAAGACAATAAGGCCAAAGGAAGAACGCTAAAGACAGACTTGAAAAAGTACAGACTGCCATTTGTAAAGACGTAGGGAGGTTTTGAGTCCCGGTCACACCTTTCCTTATTCATTCAGGAGGTCTAATCTTTATAACTGCATCATCGTGTGTATTTGAAAACATTGCATTGTTGAAGATGGTTTCATATTTTCTTCTGCTGTCTGTAAATAGATTTGAAGGTACTGACCTGATCCTCCCTGTTGGTGAGGCTTTAAGCCCAATGCAGACAGAGGCGTCTTTGTCAAACCTGGAGTGGAGCGAGCTAAAATGGAAAAAAAAAAGACAAAAACACAAAGTTTGAATTAACATTATATTTCTGCGATGTGGTAATAGTCAAATGGAAACACAGAAAAGTCATTATTTGTGACTTTGTTAAGTTAAACAAAACTGAAGTATTCAAGTCAGTTCAATTCAAAAGTACTTGTATTTCTTTGTTGTCTCAATACTTCTTGGGAGTAAATCTTATGTAATCAAAAAGCCTGTTGATTTCCCATTAAATGCTGCCAAGATTGTAAATAAAATGCATCTGTGGGTTGAGCAGAAGAGGCGACTATTAGGGGTGCAACAATACATGTACCCGTATCGAACAGTGCTGTATCGAACAATGCAAATTTTAAAAATT